CCAGTGAAGGGAACTGGTTGAATCATTTGGGGTTTTCTCTCTCAAATCAGAGAGGGTTGGCTGGGTTCCTGCCACTCCTCTGAGCTCTGGTCAGCCTCTCAGTTGAGGAGCATTGAACTACCCCATTTATTTCAGACTTTTATTTGTGCAAACAGCGGAGAGCATCCGAAGGCACCAAGCGTGGCCTGCTGGCCCTTGCGTTTCCCCTTTGCCTGTTCCTCGGCTGGACTGGATCTTGCCTGGGGTATCTCCTGTCCCAGTCAGCACCATCTAAATGCTTTCAGATTGCTCCACCTTACCATTAAATTGCTGGACTTTGGGTGTTTTGTTTTTTTGGCAATTTCCTTACTCATTTTGCTCATTTTCCCCCACCGTTCCCCTGTGAGAAACTATTTCTATTACTGAGGATTTCCTCTCAGTGTGGAGGCTTGTGCAGTGTGGACCGTCCACCTATAAAACAACTTCCTGGTAAAACAGTAATTAATAAAGTATGGCATGCTTTTATATATCTCTATATATGTGTATATATTTTACTTCAGATGTAGGAACGTTAGGGCTTAATCGCCTATTATCTTAACAAAGATAAAGAGGAAGTCTTGAGCGAAGCGTATCTTGTTTGAAAGTGCTGAATCATGGACCTTTTGAATAAATAAAGCTTTTATAGTGACTGGATGCCTATGGAGCTCTTAAAATGGTTTAAACAATCAGATTGTGTTTACTTTATTGATTTCCATGCAGCGTAGCCAACTCCAGCGTTCACTACTGCCTGTGACGGACAAACTGCTCAGCTTGCTTAAGCTCCTCAAATGATAGTGTTTTCTAAATCTGCTGGAGCTGAATGTAAGGGCTTTACCACTTTTTCACAGTAAGACTTTCTCCTATTTTTTCCCTCCCTGTGTTCCTGCTGTGGGGTGATCTGTTTGCTTCCAAAAAATAAACTGTTCCAGTTTTGTCAGCTTGCACTTATTTACCATGGAAAGGAACCACTAATGAATAACCTCATTTGAACTGTAATCTGTTGAGATTAGTAAGTAGCCTAATTAGCTATCTCTCCTTTGTGGTTTTCCTCCAAAATCTGGTTATTTTAGGGTATCCCTGCGTTAATGCAGTTTCTTAGTCCGTACGTTTCCCGGGTGCGGAGCCTCCTCGGCTCGCGCGCGTGGTCCCGGTTGCCTCGCAGGATGGAGCCACCAGGTGCTTCACGTTGTCCGTCAGCTCTGCGTTCCCGGCTCCCCGTTTCGCGTGGTGTCTTTCCGGAAGGGAGTCAGTCGGAGGCGGTCGGTTGTGTCGTGGCAGTGCGAGGCACCCTGCTTTGCCGTGGAGTTGAGTTTCTGACCATGCCCATGGCCCCTCTCTTCAGAGCTGGGAGCTCTCTGCAGCTCCCCAGCACCTGAGCTTGTACATCCCTGGGCTGCTGTTGGCAACTTCTCCTCCTCCTCCTTCCTCATGACATGCATGGGAACAACACAGTTGAAATGATGTGTTATTTCTCATGAATGTCAATTTGGACAGTAAATCCACCAACGACACAAAGCTTATTGAAACCTATCCTGTGTTTTTCTTTCTAGTCTTCAGCGCTTTAGTTTTGGTATGATTTTTTTTTTCTCTATTTTGGGTAGGTTATTGCCCACCTTCTCCCCCAGGAGAGCTTTTGAACCTTTCGACTGGTTTCAACCATATATGAGAGACGGCTGGATGTATATGGGTTTCTATCAAGTTAATAGAAAAGCCGTGGGTAGACAGAGCACAGACACCCCATTCGTGCCCTCCCAAGGAGAAGGCAGCTCTGTTGGCTGTCTAGTAGTTTGTATCAGGATATCGCTCACCCCTTACTTGCAGAAAAAGCTTTGGTCAGAGCCTGCACGTTCTTAGATGCAGGAGAATGAACCACAGCTCTCAGAGCTACAGGAAACCAGCTTGGTAACGTCTCTTCCTCCCGGCACTAATTGTTTTGGTATTTTGCATTTTCGCTTCTCTTGACTTCTCAGCTTGCAGGTTGGCGATTTCTTAGCTTTTCTAGTATCTTGTACAAAGCCCTTTGGATTTTCTCAAGTTACGTTTTTTTCCTCCTCATAGCACTCTGGCTTAGAAGCTGGATGTTGACATGTACAGTTTCTGATGATAGTCTTTCACTATTTCTTTTAGTTTTCTGGCCTAAAAAGAGTCTGAATTGATAGAGTGCAGATGAAGGCTGGAAACCAAATCACAACTTTCAGATCATCTTGGCATCTTAAAGAGCAGTAAGACAGAAATAACTTTTTCTCTTAGATTTTCTTTAGCTGTTTCTTCAGCCAGAAAAAATAAATCTGGTCTAAGTTGTGCACTAAATAGATGTAACCTTAGACTGATTCAGATGTTTAGAATCACAGCACTTACTGTAGTGGGTTTTTTTGAGTATCATTTTTTGTCTGCGTTCATTTTGCAAGAGTGGCTACCCGTTTTCCACTGCAGCCTTGGGAAATAGTCCTGATGGGCTAGGCAAAATATCAGATTAGAATTTGTGTCTAAATGCAGCTGTTCAGCAGTGGTTCATATTGACTCCAAGTTGGTTAGTTTAGCTCATAACATTCATCTCATACACACTTAAAGTCTTTATCTGAGATGTCTTTTAAGCTTGGCTTGAGTGCACGCTGGAAATTAGATATTTCTTTAGCTCCGTGGTGGCCTGGCCACTGAATAGTAGGGGCTGGAGCCAAACTTTTGATAATCACTGGGTGTTTTCCCAGTATTACCTTAATATGCCCCAGAGGCCTGATAAAATCGTAGGGCAGGGGAGCGCAGGACGAGGCTGGCTCAGGTGCCAGCCTGTGTTTGCGAGCCGGGGCAGGCCCGGGGACCCACACACCGTCCCCCGTGTTGTAACGGGGGAGAAAAGGGTCAGCAGCAGCTTGTGGGGCTGCAGCCCGTGTGAACAGTGCTGGCTGCACCGGGGCTTGCTCCCAGAAACAGGGCCAAATGGGGGCTCTGCCTCACCGCGACGCTGGCCTCCCCCGTGCCGTACACATGGGAGAAAACACGTCAGTTAGCATCAAAAACGGCTTTCACGTTGTCCCTCGTGCTGACAGAGATGAAGCTGCTCATACGGTTGGCTCTCGAGCACAGTGTGGCAGGGGAGCGGGAAAGCGGCTTTTGAGTAAACCCTGTGAAATGCCCAGCTCACTGTGTGCGTTGGGAAATTACAGAAATCAAAATACAGGAAGACAGTGCTTTGAGCACAGAAATGCTGACTTCGTTATGAGAACTGGTCCTCAATTTCCCTTGTGATTTCTTTTTTTTTTTTTTTTAAAAAAGAAAGGGTAATGTTACTTTTTAATGCTTCTTTTAATATAGAATGTTGTTACAGTTACATTAACTTAATCTTATTTATATCAGAGTGTATGTTTAGTCTATTTTAGTCTTAAGCTGGAAAAGGTTCAGTGGTCATTTTGCTTTTGTTTTTTTCCCACTTTCTTTTACTACTGTAATACTACACGTAGGTAGAGCGCTGCATTCCACAATTCAGTTTCTATCTGTGATAAAAAGAATTCCAAGCACCAGAAGTTGTCTAATGACCTGCTAAACAGGTCAAGGCAACAATAATTTGTCAAGAAAGAGGAAAAGCTGAATCAGTCTCTCTGTATGTGTCTTAGCAAGCTCCACCAGGAGTTATTTACCTGCAGTTTTTCCTAACGCCGTAATGTGGGGGGAGAAGGGAGGCAGGAGGTGCCGGATTCTGCTTCGCCGCTTCGGGATGCGCTTGTGGGGAGCAGCCACCCTCTCGTCGCGTTGCAGAAGGAAGTTTTTGGCCAAGTGCTGGTTATGGTTTTTACTACACGGGTTACAAAAACAAATAGTTCTGCGTGGGGAGGCAGCTCCTCGAAGGGGTTACTAAAGCCTGCCTGAAAGCATTGCCACAAAAGGAGTAATCCTCTGCGTATTTGCTTCGTTGCCCTCGCTGATGTGAAAGAATGCAAAGCCAAGGAATCCTGAGGGGGTGAGAGGGGAAAACTGATCCGTTTCCCATCCTTTTGGGCCCGTGGAGCACCGTGTAGCTGCCCGGTGCTGACCGAGGCTCGCAGGCACTTGGGAAACGAGCAGGGGAACAAGCTCGAGGCGCAGGGAAACTTTGGGACCGAAAGTCTGTGGATGTTGCGGGTAAATGGGGTGAAAACCACTAGGCACGGATCCGAATCCGTCGCCGCGCTGGGAGGGGGAGCCAGGCAAATCCGTGTTCGGATTTCGGTGGCCGCGAAGCACTGACCCCGGAGGTTATCGGGAACAGGCTCCGGCTGGAATTCCGCTCGTTTCCCGGGAGCGCTGCCGGAGCAGGGTTATCTGCTGCCTCGATTTCAGAAATCAGGTTAACAGGAAGCAGCCAGGCTTGCGTCGTGAGAAATAAAGCTAACGTCTTGGGACCACCGGGTTTAATTTTACCCACTTCCCTTGGGGCTGCAAGTGTAGAATGTTCCTGTGTGCCTAATAGCGCATGTGACCTGTTCACATGTCCCAGGATTATTGAGAAAGAACGTTTTGAGCCCTGGAGAGTAACTGGAGTCTGTTCCAAGTTGTCTGACTGGTGCTGGACTGAATTGGGGCTGCTTGCAGGGAGAGCTCGATGTGACCGATGCGTTTCTCTCTTTTCTTTCTGAATCCCTTCTGTAATGACCAGAATAGCAGGTGGTAGCGCAGCCCCGTCCTCCCTGGTAGACTTGCAGGACTCGTAAGATTATTCCCGAAGTGGCTGTTGGCTTTGTTTTAAATTGTGATAATCTGCGGAAATGGAATTTGTGTTGAAAACGCGATGCTGGTTGAGGGAGAGGCCATCTGCCCTGCAGCAGCTGGGACACAAGTGGCGGATTCGGTGGTGGGATGTTACTGATGCTCCTAGGTGCCCTGGCCAAGACTGGTTCAACCCTTTCCCAAGTGCCAGGGGATAGCTGAAATACATAAGGACATTGAAATGTGCGTGGTGGGATGGAAACTGAAACGGAGGCTTGGAAAATCAAGCGCCTTTCGGGCAGATGGGTAGAGTTTAGGATAGAAGCTGTAACTTTTGATTCCTAGAGCTTTATCCACTAGCTTGGAGGCACTCAAAGGGCAGTTCTTGGCCTGGTGGGATTGGGTAAATTTCCATGGTTCCAGGGATATGCCTACGCTAGCAGGTTTCCTGCGTTTCCGACCTTTCCGATGGTTTGCAAAGAGCCCGGCACGCTGCTGCAGGTCCCACTGCGGAGCTGGAATTCCCTGCGCACGGCCGGGAAAACGCACTAGGCTGGAAGGGGGGATTGACCCCTACGGAGCGTCCAGCGCGAGCCCTGGAGCGTCTCCTCCTCGCAGACACAGGTTCTTTCCTGCTGTCTCTGTGACTCTCCAGAGTGCTGGATTTGGATCAGGAAGTAGCAGTTGGGTGACAGTAGAGCCCAAATGTGCAAGTGCTGCTGTGCATGTGTTGGCTGAAATCCTGCACGCTTTGCTTCGCAAGCTGCCCAAAGGAGCTGCTGCAAGAGGTTAACTACAGCTCAGTGACAGTGTCTTTGGTTGGGTTCCCCTCATATAACACTTACTTGTGTTAATAAATAGTATTTGCTATGTGTAACATTTCCATTCCTCCAAACATGTTAATGGGGCTTTGACTTTACATGTGTCACTACTGATCTGACCATCGTTTGCTTTTCTTTCAGCTTTGCAGTGTATGGATGATTCCAGGCCTTGTATTAATGAGGGACGGTGCATTCCCTATCAAAATGGTACAGGATATTGCAAGTAAGTCTCATTCATTTTTAATATTTTAGTTGCCAATCTTTCAATCAGGGCCTTAAAGAGAAAGGAAATGTGGGGTTTTAAGCTTTTCTTACTGTCAGGTGACTTTAGTGTAAACGTTTTATTGCAGATTGTGTTTCTTGCTAGTGTATTAATTCTTCTACACTAGCTTTTTGTAACGTAATCTGGAATTTCTGTCCAGTTTCTTGGGCTTGGATCTTACCGATTTGATTGCCTCGCCCGCACGCCTAAAGGGTTCTCCCTTCCTAACATAAATGTGTGACTTGATTCAAGAGATCTACCAGCTAAGTCAGAATTTGCTCTCCATCTTGTAGCTTGATTTAATTTACAGCACTTCAGCCCCAAACTGAATATTTTTACGAGTTTTTTTCAGAACTGCCCTGCACTTTTGAGTGTGCCAGTTCTTTTCCATGTAGTGGGCAGCGAGCAATATGGGGGAGAAGGTGACACCTCTGGTGCTCTCCCTTTGCCACCACATGGAAAGCGGACGAGCAGGAGCTGTGGAGGAATGTGCAGCTCCTGGAGAGTGGTACCACATCTGCTTAAATGCCCTTCACCTTTTCAACTTCAGCTGCAAAGTTTGGATTGTTTTTTTTAATTAAGTTATATTCTGAAAAAAAAATTATCTTGTGTTTGCTGGGGTTAGGTCACCGTGTGACTGCTGTAAACGGATTTATTTCCTAAGCCTTGTTTACTTCGTCAGTGCGAGCTGTGCCATTTTGTAGCATGCTAAATCCCTCTCTCCTTAGCACTTGCATTCTTTAGATGCTGGTGGATGCCGCCTCATTGATTTAGCTTGGCTAACACACAGCTCTGCTTTACCCCTTCGGCCCTCCCTGCACATCTGTCTTCCTTGTCTGCAGTTGTTAGTTCTTGCTGTTAATGCAGTGCCCAAAACTCGATATGCTTAATTTGCACCTGTGGCACACAAAGGGGAAATCATAACCTAATTTAAGGTGGTTCTCGGTTTCAAATCAATACTTAGTGTTGAGAAGGGCCCCAGAAAAAAAAATTAACGTGTTGTTCCCAACTGTGTGTTTAATTTTCACTGTTATTACTCCCTAGGCTTTTCCTTGCTATTTCTTTTTGATTACTGGAAGCAGAAAAAAATGTTCTGAAAGGAAACCTGATTGATTTTCCTACATTCCCCCTCTATTTTAAGACACAAAAAAAGAGCCTGCTTGTGCAACCTTAGCAGGTCTTGCTCATGAGTCTGTGAGTCTGGAGCCAAAATGCGTGAGTCACAATAAAGTTATTAACCAAGGCTGGTGTTACTGCCTGTGCCTCATCTCTTGCTGCACACGTTTTCTCCAACTTGCTTATTCCTGTTAACCGCCTTTTAGCGTAAAATTGTTTAGTCGCTTCACCTGCAGGTTTAACTTCACTTAAGATGTCAGTGTTTCTGGGGCAGGCCCAGCTTTGACACATTTCCTCTGTCACAGTGGCAGCTTTGACTGCTCTTCTGATTTTTTCAGCACGCAGAGCTATTTATAATTCTGGTGTTGCCTTCCTCCTCCTTGTACATGGTCTTCTACAGGTCTCAAGCCAACCTCTGCCTTGAGTGAGAGCTCAGCACTTCTGCAGATGCAGTAAGTGGAAGGGCTGATGCAAACCCGTATTCAGAGATGCATTTACCTGTTTTCTAGTTCTGGCTCAAATGGTTTGCTTTTCAAAAGAAAAGGAAAAATGGAAAAAAAAAATCTCTCATTTGTGGAGATTCTACCTTTTGCAGGCTGATTCTTAGCATCCTGTTTTGGTTTTAAGTTTTTCTTTTTTTTTTTTTCTTCACTATGAGGAACTCTGAATAGAGGAACTTTCTGGTATAATACCCTAAACGACTTTCTGATTTTTTTTTTGATAGCAGAACAAAACAGAAACGTTTTCTTCGGAAAACTGAACTTCTCCCCAAGGCGAGTGGCTGGCCTGGCTCTGCAGGATCCCTTGCCATTTAGTGAAATCTCTACCCCTTGCACTTTTCCTTTTTTTCCTCCTCGCGTTTTCTGCAGCACTTCCTCTGCCTGGCGCTGGGCTGGCCGAGCAGGCTCCCTTCCTCTTTCTGCACCTCCTCTCAGCAGCGCTGCGTTCCGCGTGCGGCTGCTGCCTGCAGTGTATCTGGCCGCCTGTAGCAGCCAGGGAGCCTCTGGAAGAGCAGCTGCATCCCGGATAATCGCGTGTGATGGGGAACATGGGGAACACGGGCGCTGATAAGAGAAGCTTCCAGGCGGAGCGGCCTAGTGCTGCAGCAGCTCCCTTTGTGGGAGAATCCCAGTCTAGCTGCCCCACTGAAAGAGAAAGATGGTTTTGTGCCGAGAAACCTTTATTCTGGTGCAACTGGCTTCTGTTACGGGAACAAAGAGTGTGACCCCATACGGAAGCGGGAGTTGGATCCTTATCAGGCTGCTCTCCTGAGTGCCCTGTAAAGAGTTTGGTTCCCCTGCTGATGCTGCTGGCCCTCGGCTGTCACCTTGTGGCATTTGTTTGATAGAAATACCGCTGCTCTTCGACCTTGACTTTATATTTAGAAAATCGCGTGTTCCCGTGTTTGCGTCTTCCAAGGTCAGACCTTTTGTCCAGGATAGATTCCTGCGCCCGGCAGACCCGATTCCCGGGAGCACAGGGTGTCCGCTCCT